GTGAACATCATCAGGTCTGACCGATGTACTGCCAGACTGATGAAGGGTAAGTTTGAGTTCCACCAGTGTAAGGAGGCGATTATAGTCATAGAGATGATCGGCCCAAAAGGAAAGAGGCAATCGCTCTGCCCGAGACTTGATGGCCAAGAAGGCGAGGGAAGAAACAGAAGTGCTATATACATAACAAAAGCTCTCGCCGAGAGTATCGGCGATGCTCTGTGCATCTCGGGGCCAAAGAAGATGGACCCGAGCAGACACCAGAAGCTAGGGTTGAAGGAGATGGACTTGGGCAGTCACTGGAAGCAATGGTGGAGACAGAGACAGTAGATTTTGACTTGTTAACTCGTTTATTCACAGAGGACAAAAGACTCTTCACATGGTGTGAGAAGAGCTCTAAAGGAAACACGTAAATATATGTCTGCACTCCCACTGTAGCAGTGGAACATAGTGCAGCAGCATATGTCCAAGATGGAGTGGGGGACAATAATTTCCGAGCCTCAGGGTAAGAAATGTTATGGACAGTACATAAATGTTGTACCTCTTTCTCCTCCACCTATTTAGGGCAAGATCGATGGTAAGAGGGTTGGGAACTACCACAACTAATGTAGTAAGCATCCAAACGACACTAGTAGGGGTCATTGTTTTTGCCACCATGACAAGCACATGTCAAAGACCACGACAAGATGCCTTCAAATGTCTGAACTGCTGACACAGGAAACACCAGAGAAGGTTAGGAATGTATGGCTGTACATTACTGTTAAGGGGCAGATGGACATGGCAATGTAAATGTCAGAAGACATTGGTCAGCAGCATAATCGAACATCAGCCCACTCACCCATTGCAATTGCAGAACTAATGGACAAGCTCAATGATATATCCATTTTGAGGAAGCAGATTCCAGATCCAAGATTAGAAACAACTATCTTTATTCAGTGGGCAACATTTTCAAGACTGAGTGGGCATCTATGTTTCTTCTAACGTCTAGTCTATTGCCATTTGCCTGAATAAAGTTGCTATCCACTGGCCATAGTGGTGGTCTCACTTGGAGAGCTTGAAAGCTAATGAGGTCCACTAGGATTTTTGAAATTAATGAAATTAATTTATTACCCTTGTACTTTCATTGGCACATACAAAGCTCTACCAAGCCCTGACAGAGCTGGACTGACCACTAAATTCTTTGGCAAGCAGTTTGCTAGTTTTCTCCAAACCATTGTACAATCCTGACAATCTGGAGCACTTGCCATCACATCCACCACTTTTTGTTGGTCATGTTGGACCCACTGATTCAATGACTAGTATCGATAACCTTGCCTACTTTGCTGTTTGGCAAAGTATTGACTTTGTTGATTGGCTGGCATCTGTTGAGCTGTCAGCTGAAACCTATAGCTCAGTCACTTTGTTTCTGAGTAAAAGACAGGCAGTTCCTTCACCAATTTCCCAGTATTCTGCAAGCAAAAAGAGACCATTTGTCCTTCACTGTCCTGGACAGTGTCCATGTTGAGACATCTGCATTTGCTACAGTGTGTGTTCTAGACCTTATAACACCCTACCATTACGAAGTGTGCATACTGCTGATGCCATCTGCTCTGGACAGAAGCTGCTAACAGGGACCCTGGTATCTAGGAAGACAGTAGGCCCCTGGTCCAGGGCGATAAGCTGCTTGAGATGGCTCATCCTACAACCTTCTATAACACAAGGTATCATAAAGTCGTGGGGTATCTTTCAGTCCTGAAATGGATCTTAGCCTATGAGTCACAGTTGCTCATGGGTGTCTGTTGTCTTTCTTACTGAAAAAACTACTCAGACTACCTGAGATCATCCACCGGCAGTACATCCTGCATTTCCCCACTAGACACTGTTGGTCTGGACCAGAGGTTGGGATGTGATGCTGTGACAATCCTCAGTCATCTGTGTTTCTCTTCTGCTGAGATCAATTTTCAATGGTACCATATGCTTGAGAGGTCTGGTTTAACCAGACCCAAACAATTCTCCCCGAGTCTGCTGGTGCAGTCTTACCAGTGTCATAGAACTTTACAGTACTGCAAATGTTCTATGTCCATGAGAGTACAGCTCATGGGCTCAACATCTCTTCCATACAACCATGTTTCTCCATCAAACTCACCATCTTACTGATGAGTACTTCTATCCAGTCAATAAGTCATTTTAATCATAAAAGTGTCCCTTTAAACTGAATTAAACTCAAGAGGTAAGAGCTAATGTACATTATATAAATAAAGAAACTTAATAATATGTCCTATGTTCATGACATAAGAATCTGTCCTTCCTATCTATTTGTAGTATTCTCAGGTATAACTATTCTCCTTGCATTTATGTGCTAGGATGTTTTAACAGCAGGAACACATATGAAATACATGTTTTTAATTGTGACTGACAACTTAACTGTGTTCTCTAGAATACTGAATAAAAGACTGGCCATGTTTTTAAGAAAACAAACACAATCATTATTATATGAAAAACAGTGTGCCTAATTGCACAGCCAGGAACACAGTCGACAATATACTAACTAGGTGGTGATTAGTCTTACAGCGTTCACTCTCTAAAGTTGATATTTGCAGAACTAAAACAATGATCTAAAAGTATGTTCTTTAATTCAAGATCTCCTAATAGAATTGAACTGAGAAAGCATACTTGATTCCAACAGGTAAACTAGGTTTCTTTGTCCAGTTGACAGTGTCTAGATGAACCTTGTTCTCTCATAGCATTTGCTGGCTGTAAAATATAGACATCACCCATTTGACCAGTGATGTTACTACAACATTCTCTTTGGGAGAATATATATTATCTGCTATAGAGAACAAAGCAAAAACAAGGCAAATTAAATGGTTTTATGGACCATGTGTTTATGCCAAAACTGCATAGCAACTAGATAAATTAAAATGTTAAAGAAATTCCTATATCACTAAATACAGGTAGAAAACATGCCTACATATCACAGTCACTCATGAATATGTGGCAACTATTTTTCCAGACTCTGAACTTGCTTTTCATAATGTTTAGACTGGTGGTTTATTTAAAAAAAAAAGGTATAATATATATATATATATATAATATATATCATCCCTGATGATTTATAAGAGAGTTTACTAGAGCAACTGCTCAGTACTACATATTGATTCTCACTCTAATTTTATGCTATGTGATCATCTGTGATAATGATGCTATTTTTACAGATATTTCTATGAAACAATGACTTCATCTTTGTTTAACATGCTACATTTTTCAAAAGATTTTGCCTTTGTTCAAACCTGAGCTGATACTGGGGATTTTTTCTGCATTGAAATGTAAATATATGGTTATTATATATAAAAAAAACATGGATATTCCTAAGCTTCATATTAAGGCAATGGAAATAAAATACCTTGGAATAATATTGAATAATCATTCAAACTGAAAACCTTACATCTTTTCTCTAACTGATGCTTATATTTCAGAATCTACAGAGATAGTTCATATGACTCTTCTACTGGGCACACCACATGTGTTATGTCCAAAACTTCACCCTACTTGTGTCTTATTATCTCTGAAATCACTCTTGTAATTTTGTAGATGACCTTGTAAGTGTTCTGTTAACATTATCTTGGTTGTTTCTACTTTTTCTCTTGTTTTTATTTTTTCAGACTCTTTAAACAGTCTAATCCTATAAATTTTCATAGAGATATGTTATCACTCTAGCTTGCTAAGGGCATGTTTAGTTCTCTATAATTGTTTTATCCATTTTGATGGAAGAGTTAATTGTATGTGTCTGGATATGTGGCCATGTTGGTAACCTTGCAACTACACGAGCTGGCCAAGCTGCAAAAGCGGGACTGTTTTTTCAATTGCCACCTGATAGCCCTTGCACTGAATAGTTCCAACTGTACAAATCTGCTCTGTAAAAACACTCTTATCCTCCTTGCCAGAAAATTGGTCAAATTCTTAGGTGCGATGTCGTACTTATAGTTTGTTTCTTATACCATTACCCAAAACTTATACTGTTCTTAAGAATATAGATCAAGATTTAATTATTATTTGGTCTTTCTGTAGGGCTTCACTGCAGACTATTCAATAAGTGTTTTTTGTTTCTTTTCCTGGCCTGCTTATGCTAAAGAATATTAATGCTTGAAAGATTTTATTAATGAAACTTATCTACCTTTTCTCATCAATTACCTTGTTATGAAAATTAATGAGCCTTTAAATATTGTTCCTAAGTAATGTTACTGATACTGTTTATCAGATTTATTTAGTTATATTTAATCTACTGATGTAGATTCCCTCCTCATGTATAAATTAGTTGCTCACTTGGTTATATATATATATATATTGGTGTACATACATCTGTCTATTATAGAGGATGCTGCAATGAATTTAATATTTAACACAGACCTATTCCAGTCAAAACACAGCTTGGTGTTTTCTGTCATACCTATTTGAAACATACTTGGATGCATAGATATAAATAATACTAGATTGGAAGCCACATGATTTTTGGCATGCACAAGTGGCTGCCATTGCTATGTGTTGAACTTTTAAAGCCTGACAGTTGAACTGACAAAGGCAAATCGACCTCACCTCACAGCTTATGGCTGTTTTCCATCTAAACTAAATTAGGGCAAAAATCGTTCACAAAACATGCATATCTGACCTGTCATATGAAGAATGCATTGGATTTTACACCAGAGGGAAATCCTAGGAATAAAATCTGTTCTTTTTCCTTGGTGCTTATTATGTGTAACAGAAAAATATACATTTGAAGTATTGTTGCCAATGTACAGGAGATGATGCATTATGTCCTTTTCTTGGGGGCTGGGGGTGGAGAAGGATATTATTTACGTATCTGCACCTCCAAACATTCAATGTTCTTAATTGAAGTTTTTAGAAAATAATTAAGATAATTTATGATATAAATATAATAAAATTCATTATGATTTATTTGAAAATTTGTGACAAAAATTGATACAAATGCTTGAAAAGAAAAAAAGGACATAGGCCTGACTTTTCCAACTGAGTACAATTCACTACAGTGAATTAGTTTTAATAACACTGCAGGAATATATTTATTTACAGCATAATCAACAATTTTCACCATTAAATGTACAATTCATAATTATATGCTAGCCAAATTCTGCTATTTCATGTGAAAATCATTTCTGCAGCACTGGCTCTCCATCTTCCTCTAGCCATCTAGTTATGGATAATTAGAAGGAGTTAAAAATCAAAGTAGAACAAGCAAATGGAAAACTTCACTAACTGATTTGCAATGGTTATATAAAAGTTTATATTGATAACATGTATTTGACTTACATTTATTTTAATCTCTAAACAATTCATCCAAGACAGAATGTAGTACTTTTACTTAGCATATCTCAATGACCATGACAATGGTATAGTTCTACTAGTCCAATATACAAAAAATAGATAAATAAATACTACTTCAAATGAAATTTAATTAAACTTTATAAAATATAGCATAAATGGTTACATTAATGACCTAAAAATCATTATCATATCTATGAGAAATATAGTAACACATTAAAAATTTATTATAATATCAGTATGAAATACAACACCTTCGCAAAGTCCTTGGTGCCGGGAGACTTAAGTTTATGGTGTCTCTCAAGTACTTGTATGCCTTTGGAGAGTACAAATGTAATGTCAATGCAAAGTTTCTTTGGTCTTTACTATAGTGACAGGATGGCTTGCTAAAAAGCTCCCAAGGAATATCTGAAAGAAAAATTATTTATGATAATACAGTACATTAATAAACTTTACAGACACAGGTTCAACCAAAAATGTTCTCTGAAAATGGGCATTCATTCACATGGTGAAATAAGAAATAAGTAAACATAAACCTTTGTATGAAGCCAGCTTCATCTCTAGCTCTGCAGTGATTAGGTTCTTTCCCACAAGCTCCTGCAACAATGCTTTGCTTGTACCCTTAGCACGCTTTTCACGCAGTTTTGCATTCCTTATACTTTTACGGAGTTCTTCATTGCTCTGTTGTAGGGACATAATTCTTCTTTTCATATCATCTTGACAGATATGGTAAGAATGCTCCTGAAATCAAAATAAATTGTTTCAGTTGAAAAATTGAAATGGTTTGTTATGTTTAACATCATAAGTACAAGAAAGAGACATTCAAGTTGTAAGATCATATGTCCCACCCTATGTTTGTAGTGACTGGGCTACCCACTAATGTACAATTGCCACAGTGGGAATTGAACCCAGAACCTCTAGAATGAGAGCTGAACACTAAAGCTAGACAATGAACACATCTTCAATTGAAAATATTAGTAAGGTCTAAATACCAACCTTTGTAATTTGTTCTTCAACCGTCACTGAAGTTGAAGCTGTGTCATAATTTTCTTCTTCATTTGGCAGACTAGTAGTCAGCAGGGCTTTTGTACTTGTGTTTGACTTTCGTTTTCCTGCTTTCCGAGGCTATAACATTAAATTATGACTTTGAATAAATCTTATCTTGAGTATTTATGCCAAAATAAGCTTTAAATATAGTGAACATTCAAGAGTCTAACCTGACGATGTTCACGTAATTTGAAGATTATGGGAACTGCATCTTCTCGCAAATGTGTTCGTTGCAACGTTCTGTTGATCATTGATGAGTCAAAGTGCTTACTACATATTCTAGAACCATTTGTTGGCTCGCGCTCTCTTCCGCAATTTCTCACCCAAAGTTCATACAATTCCTTGTTCTTAATTTTGTCTGGAAATCTGTAATGTAGAATAACCTAAATTAGAAATATACTATAATAAAACTAGGCTCAATCTGTTATAAGTACTCTTCTTTATACATCAAAGTTACATTAATGTGAGTGTTTTTTTTTTGTTCATGCAACATAAAATATTTTGGGCCACTTGTACTGCATACTGATTATTTATCATAATGACACTGACAGCTCAAGGATTTTGGACTGGAAGGGGGCCACCTGAAAAAAATTAATTTCTCATGTGATTCTGAGAAGGAGTCTATTGACAGTATTAGGCCTATGTTTTCCAGATCAGCCATAATGTAATTGATCAGACTAGACTTGTATTAAACCACACAGTTAAATCAACCCAAAATCCTCTGTCATCCATTAAGCAAAGTGGTATCTAACCTACATAAAAAAAAAAAAACAACACGTGTGTGTCACGTCACATCACGTCACGCTTGATTTCTTGAAATAGGAGTAGTCATAAAAGCCAAAATGCATTTATCCAGATAGAACAGTTGAATTACTGTCTACCAATTACGATTTTGGTGAAAGTAAAACATTTAACTCAAATTAAATAAAGAATTATATATATCAACTAACTATAAAAGGCTTCTTTCCTTTGTCACTCTTACCATCAAAACTATCACCTGATTGTTCTTAGACCAGCTGTGGGGTTGTTAATGTTTTAACTACTATGGAATGTTACAGAGTAGTTTTAATTATCATGGGATGTCATAGAGTGGTTTTTAACCATTATGGGATGTTATAAAGTGTTTTTTTTTAACTATTAGCAGTTGTTATAGCGATTTAAAAAAAAAAATTTTGGGCTGTATTAGTGTTTTTTACTATTATTGTATGGTATGGAGTGTTTAACTAATTTGGTTTTTACAGAGTAGTTTCTGGGCTGTTATACAGTGGTTTCTTTAACTAGTGGTAGTTATTACAGCATAGTTTTAACTATTATGGGATGCTAGTGTTTTAACTACTATGAATTGTTATAGTGTAGTTTTAACTATTATGGGATGCTAGTGTTTTAACTACTATGAATTGTTATAGTGTAGTTTTAACTATTATGGGATGTTATAGTGTGGTTTTAACTTTTATGGGATATTATAGAGTGGTTTTTTTTTCACTATTATGGGATGTTATAGAGTAGTTTTTATCTATTATGGGATGTTGTAGTGTTTTTAATAATAAAAAAAGGTTTGATTCTCACAAACATGCAATTTCTGATCTGTGAAGATTTTCATCTTTTGTTACAATATGAGAAAGGATATAAGATTATCACAAAAAAATGTTTGCTAAAATCGATTTTTTTGTCTTTTTTTAAAGAATTCGAGATTGATGAAATATAAGTAAAGAGTAGGTGCATATTGGAGGTACAAACAAATTCGTTTTAGTTGAATTCTGTAATTTTCGTTAATCATTCAACAATGGTTTACCGTAATTTTTGACGGGCTTTTACACTAATATTTAATAAACATCAACCTTGACACTCTGTGATAGCATTAAAACTGAATATAAACAAAACTTGTATTTGTTGACAGTGCATGTTTTGGAGGCGTCTCTATATAGTGTATAGCGAGATTGGCCAATAGGCGACACTAGAATATCGTGGATGATTATTTCAATTTATATGAGCACTGAATATCGTTAGCACTTCAAATCAAAAGCTGTCAAACTGTCATGCCGACTTGTGTGGGTGAAATGCTTTACCAAAAAAAAAAAAAATGATTTGCATATATACTTTGAAACTAGATGTAAACATCCACGACAGTTCGATGTCGCCTACTTTAACTTAAATTCTTAATATATTATTGAAAATAAAAAAAGGGTTTTTACTAACTTGTGAAACGTAACACCCTCCGCCTTCGACTCTTGGTTACGGTATGTGTAACAGTTAATGGCATAGCACTGTGTTCCCTTCGTTCTTTCGGGTCGTGACTTAGTCCGACGACTGTCAGTCTCAGCCATTTTACATTGTCTGTCAGTTGGAACTTCATCACATAGTAATGGCGGCCGCATGCGCACATGCCTCTCAATGATAAACAGTAGTGATTGGTTAATCTAGTTTTACCGGGCTTTAATTCGGTCCCGACAAGTGAGAGTGGGTTTTTTAGGGGTACTCCTGTTCCCCATCCCCACCAAAATTTTTAGGCATTGGATCTGTAAATCCCAGCTTCGGCATTTGGATTTATTAATCCCTGACAAGGCCCGTTTGTTATGAGAGTTTTTATGACTCGACTTCTTTTTCACCACCGAGTGTCAGGGACTTGACTTGCCTTCACCTCTTCCACCTAGTTCAGTTTTTTCTTACCTTTTTATCGTTTAGTTAAACCTTACCTCTTCCCAGTAATTCATAATTGGCCTCTAAGATCATTAATCCATACGATCTAAGTTCACCAATACCTCGAGCGGGGTGAAGGAAGATAGCTTAATCTTCAACCACCCCTAATGATTAATTATGTCTTTAGAAATGTTTAGCATCAAAATATCTAGTTGTTGCGTCAGCGAGGTCACGTGACTCGTTCTCTCGAACCTTCGGGAATTGTCGGGAGATTACTAGATATAGGATAGTCTGGTATATGTAAGAGGGTGACAACGTGACGCGACAATGTGTGCGGAGATAATGAGTAATTGAACTGCAGTCAGAGAGAGATGTATTGTTGAAGTAGAGCTCGTGAGACGTGAACTAGCGTTTGTTACAGCGCGACTGTTGAAAATAAGTGTATCGTAAAGTTGTATTCGGAAAGAATAAACCAGTTTTATTATGTAAGGACTTGTGTCGCTAAAGTTTCGTCGGAACGAAGTTACGGAAAATCAATTAACAAACGGAGACGTAATGTAGTGTTATGTATATCTATGCTTGGATGTGATAGTATGAATAATCATCTATTTCATAGGCTTTAATGATTAGCCTCCAGCGAAGAACCGTAAAATAGATTAGTTAAACTTTGTAAATGCTTAATTTTTTCACATCTTTCCAATAAAATCGTTGTGTTTTAATCATGCTTTGCCTACTATAATATAGGTTTATCATAGTAATAACCAATCAGGAACGTCGAGAGCCAGCACGAGCCCCGGGGCAAACATCCTCGCCGGGCCCCCTTTCTCTCTCTCTTTATTTACATTTTCAAGAATTTATTAAAAAGAAGATCCTAAATTAGGACAGCAACGAGCTCATAAACCAGACAAAATCATA